CTTTTTAGAATAAAGGCAATAGACAATAAACAAATTGTTAATGTTTCTGTCAAATGGTGTGCACACAGCCGAACGGGTTTTGACGCTCGGTTTGAATTCAAACCGATACAGATTACCCGATGTTAAGGACGACCGCGTCCGTTTGCTAACGGGGAAACCGACGCGCCAGCTGACCTATTTCATCTTCCTCAACCGAGCAGGTGCTGTTTGTCTGACGACCAAGGTGTTGCTTTCATAATGCGTCAGCTTGCTTTATTACTTGCCTGGAGACAGAAGCGGTCAAGCGGCAAGCTGCTCGTTGGATAGATGTGCTTCAAATGGAACCCCCCCCCTCCGGAGAGACATAAATACTTTGATTACTTATTCTTGATCTGGCTCGAGATACGTTGCGCATTACATGACGCGCTGAATATTGAATACAAAGCAGGTGGCTATTAATTTAATAGTCATTCAAACTTTGAGCAACTTTTGAAGTTTATGAAGGTTTAATATTTGCATGGATGTGTATTTGCGGAGGCGGCAATTGACTGAAAAAAAAAGATATATATATATAGATATATATATCTATATATATATATTTTTTCATATATATATATATATATATTGATTTGGTCGAGTTACAGAGAAGTGCTATTTTTATTTTAACTTAACATTCAAGAGTGAGATTCAAAAGCAACGACTAATTGTAATTCCGGCTTTGATTTTCCGTTGTTGTTCTTCATCACTGACCTTCATTCACAGTTTCCTTTATTTTCATGTTAGCAAGTTCTTTTTAAATGCCGCCGCTGCGGGGCAGAAAGTTCCCCAAATAATATCACGCGTTATAGCATAGAATGACTAATGTTTATTCATTTCAGTGAGCAAAACAATACATTTTCTTGAGTCAAGATGGTTTCGAATGCCGTTTTTACGGCCAGTGATTTTTATTTTTTTTCCCCCTCGAGTCTCAAGTGTTACTTAATACAGACACCCTCGAACAAAATTGCTGACCACAAACTTTTGCGATAGCAATCAGCATTTTGGGCTGAAAAATGCTGGATTGGCGTCTGAAGAGCCTCTGTGGCCATGATGGGGTAATGAAATCCAAAAAGACCCGGAGAGGAGAAAGCACAGTCATACTGGAAAAACTTTAACTGCATTTACCGGCAACAGGGAATTGAAATGATTTCAGGGAAACGTGAAAATATGTTTTGAGAGCCATTGTCAGTTATCGGCCAATGGAGCACCACTGGGAATCATTTAACAATGACACAATAATAATTTGCCTTTTTGACATATGTTCACAGCATCCCAAAAAAAACCCCAAAAGTGCCACAATAGACACCGAATGGATATAATAAAGGGTTTCCTGGGTTTCAGACCGTTATGTTTTTACGGAGGCCACGGAACACAAATTTGTACCTTAAGTCACACTGCAGCCTATTATTAACCTACGCGAGCATGCTAGCAAAGTCAGAATTTTGGTAAATATGTCAATGAAAACCACTTAGGGGCCATATAAAACAAACAATGAAATGAAAATCAGTCAGAATGTCGGTAGCTGGTTCATTGTGCGCCATTCTTTCACTCAAAATGTTTTATGAGCCCAGTAAACCGAAGACCCGCTGTTGTGATGCTCACATGATCCGTCTGATGGTCGTGTAATGTCTTGTGCGATTGTTGACGAAAATGTTTTTGGGTGACTGGTGGTAAGCAACTGGATGTAAATTAAGAAGAAAAAAAAAGGCAGCCAGGCACAAAATTAACAACAAAATGAGGACAAGGACAGATTGAATTCACCGCATTCATGAAAGTAAGCAGGAATTTTGAAAATATGCTTTTCCCACGCACCCAAACACACAAGTGAGACAACATTGAGTGTCGGAAAGTGATTCTGTGATTACATGCGCGGTAACCTCGAAATGTTGTGTTTTTGGCAGAAAATATTTGTGTGAAAATCACTTCTCGAGCGCGCTCCCCGAATGAGTTCATTGCAGTACATTCGTTTCTTCAGACTAGCCAGTTCGCGGGCGTAAGCACATTTTAGATTCAGATTTAGATGTGGCGTTTGTCCCCCCTCAAACTAAGCCGTGTGGTCCCGTTTGTTTTGACGGCTTGGAAAATTGATTTGTGGGAGTGCATTGCAGCAGTCTCAACAATCCAATTGCCTCAATGGTTTTATCTCGAAGGATCATTAACCTCTTCCATTGTAAATGGTTTCTTGCTATAAAACTTGACTTTGGTCTCCGTCACTCTGCGTCACCGGCGTATGTATTGATGGCCTACGGTTGTTCTTGTAACAACCTGTCAAGACTGAGTGAGTGAGTCAAGATAAGGGGGCAGCTAACACCAAAGTCCAGATAAGGTTTCTGCGGAGATTAGGGGCGGGTTTCGTCGTGCCGAGTCTTGTAATCCACATTTAACACACACGTCATTGTCATTGCAATGCATAACAAGAACAAGAAATCTCACATTTGGTTTTCGAGGTATTCCCGAAGGACACCAGGGCAGGAAGGTTGGGTCAATCCATTAAAAAAAGTGCTGGGGGGTGTTTAGCTATATAACTGGCCCTCTGATGACTACTATAACTATTATGAATTTATGTATGTATGCATGTAGCCACTCCTTGACCCTTTCATGCACCCAGAAAATGATAAAAATTGTTTTTCGGATAATACATGTTAATTAATGTCAACTTTTGTGAATGGTAACAATATAACTTATGAAGCCTGTCTGTGCGCGACGACGCTAACACCATTGTGTGTCACTCATCTCATTCTTGAACTCGTAGTTTCTGACCTTAGTGCAGCTTTTACCGGGAACAAAATGAGCTTGAATTGACATGAGTAATGAGCTGTTCCGGCGGACGTGTCTTTTCAAACTAAGGGGCTGCAAGACCTTTTGAAGTCGGTGCTAATGAGAGGTTAAGTCAAGTCAACGAGTCGATGACGTCATTGATATTTTCTTGGTCCAGTATTGTAGTGTCTTTTCGATCGAGCTGAGACAATGAACGGTTCCCGTCAACAGGAAACATGTCCGCATTCAAGTACGATCAACAACAAGCACCAACTCAACTGTTACATGTTACGTAACATTCACCTTATGCTACTGTGAGTGTAGCGCACGGATGTTTGCCACACAGCCACAAATATAAAAACACAAGTGTCGTTATGTTCGTGTGAGAACCAGCGGGACCGCTTACGTGACAACCCGAGAGCCGATCGGACCAACTGACGTGAGCAATGCAAAGGCGAATTGCAATGCTCATCCACAACCTGGACAGCGAAGGCCAGTGCAATTTTTCATACTCTCTGAGCTGCGCAAAACACAATAAGACTGTGTCGCCCTGAAAGCTGAACATTTCTCTGCTTCACAGACCTTCATTGTCCAACCAATCGTACTGGAATAGCCTCTTTAAATGTGTCCATTTAGGAGACAAGATGCGAAAAGCGTGATTAGTCAACTTCAAGCTCTAAAAATTATTGCGAATAGTCTGTTCAACTCCGATTTAAAACCAGAAGTCTCTATTCTACATTTCAACAAGTGCTGGCTAAAGTTGATTTTTTTTTCCGACTTAACCTGAATAATGGCATTTGTTTACTGTGCATGAAATGACACGCTAAGGTATGAATTGCTGTTGGGAAATTTCAAGAATGCCACTCAGGATATTTTGGGGGAAAGATTAGATGTATATATCGGAATTTTCATTATGGGCAGCAGAGTGGTCTAATGATTTACACAACCGCCTCACAGTCGAGAGGTCCCCAAATCAGAACTTGGCTTCAGCCTCCTATGTGGCCATCACGTTCTTCCCTGTGCTTGTGCCTATTTTCTACCAGCACGACAATTTCCACCCACATTCCAAAAATATGCTTGGTAGGTTGATTGAATGTGAATAGTTGTGATGCGCCGCTGCAATTGGCTGGTTGCCTCTGACCCAAAGTTAGCTGGTGTAGTCTCCAGCTCACTCTTGAACCCAATGAGGACAGGTTTTAAAAGTCATGGTTAGAAAAAAATATATTGCAAGCAAAAATTCAGTGTTCACATCCGCCTATACAACATCTGGAGGAAATAGAGAGTAGCACAAGTACATTTTGAAACTTTTGACAGAAAACTGAATCTTTTTTTCAGATGTTCTAGAGCAAATGTGCTTTTGTATTCAAGAAAAAAAAAAAACCACAGATGCTCGATGTCACATTAACATCTCAGTGCATGAGGAAGTCTTTTGTTGGCCAAAAGGATGTCAGGATACAATATCAGGTTCAACAGGCATGGCCTTCATTTCAACAGCCGAGTACACTATGACTCATATGGTCTCTCCAGAGGGACTTTGAGGGAGATGAATCTAAGTGACAGACATCATCCTCGACGTCGTCGTGTGGAAACGCAGGCGGCCATCAGATCAGTCGGGGCTGTGCTATTTCCTGTGTTCGGTTTTCATGAATAAAATATCATACTGTAAATACAGACGCCAGCCACATGTGAGTGTCCGAATATGCAGTCGCGCATACCGTATATTTCAGCCATATATGTTTGTAACAAAATAACATTTTAAGCACGAGCATTAGGTTATCTTTTGAATTGGTTCATTGTGTTGGAAGACAAAACAGTTGCTTCTAATTTCCTGATGTGATGACCTTTAAATTGTCTTCAAATTGTTGATAATTTACATGGCATTAAAGCCCAACGAGAGGAAATGATTTGAATTTATTTTTATTATTGTTGTAATTCAATGGCAGCCTGGTGGGCCAGTGGCTAGCACGTCGACCTCACATTGCAAAGGTACCGGGTTCAATTCCCGCTCTGGCCTCCCTGTGTGGAGTTTGCATGTTCTCCCCGGGCCTGCGTGGGTTTTCTCCGGGTACTCCGGTTTCCTCCCACATTCCAAAAAACATGCATGGCAGGCTGATTGAACGCTCTAAATTGTCCCTCGTTGCAGCTGCTCACAAATTGAAGTCTTGACATTGGAATATCTCCGGCTCGTATCGATTTAAAGGCCAGACGAGGTCAGAGAGACGTACCTTTGACTGAAGCTGTTCTCCTTTCTTCGACAGTGCAGGGTGACAACTCTGTGACCTTCACTTCGGACATCTTGACTCACCGTCCACAAAACCGGATTACTGGCTCTGGCACCCAGGAATGCCACGCCATCTTTCAGCTTCACCCTGGAAAGATGACCAATTCACTCGGTTAAAAACAAATACGTTGAATACTATAAAACAATCACATTCAGAGTCTGTGAAGTATTCTGCGACACGGTCTTGGAAGCCTCTTTCACATGGGCCATCTAGCTCGGCGTTTTTTCTTTTTTTCTAGCCCCTGGTGTTAGGGATGGGAAGTTTAAGCCAACCCGCCTATTGGCCGGCTTCCAAAGTGGTATCAGAGGAAGCACGCCGTTAATAGGTCATCGGATAGCAGCCACAACCAGAGCGTGACGTTTGATACCAGAGACTCATAGCCAACAAACATTCTTTGATGAATGTTGTGAGTTTTAAAGAAAATATATCTATATATTTCGTAGGGCATCAATTCTACACGGATTTATACTATTCGGGGCAGGGGGCGGCTCGATCCCTATCTCGGGCTTCAACTGTCCCAGTATTTGGCATCGTTTTCGCACATGGTACAGTATCAGTAGACCAGCATCACTTAATCTGATATCTACGTACGTGCAGCTGCACACTTAATGAGAATGGGCCTCACAATTCTCACCCAAGTATCAGTTGGGTGCTTTTGTAGAAGACTGTTGCGTATCTTCCACCAACACTTTGAAATTATTGGATCTGCCCTTATTCGGGAGCTGCAAAAGGCACAAAAGTAAAAGGAGAAGCCCAACATTAATGGGTAGAAACGATTTAACGGCAATCTTCACACCCTCTGTGCTCAAAGCGGGTTTCTTTGATGGTATCCAGGCGACAGAGGCGATAATAACTCATGCGTCGCTCACTGTTCCTGACGGACGTGATCAAGCTTGTTGGCGTGGAGGAGAGGGAGAGCACGGATTGCTGGCCGCCCCCCCGTTTCAAAGCCTTATCCACGGCAAAGCCATCAATTGAGTCACACCCTTAAGCTTTGGTGAAGAACTACAAGGGGGTGCCGTTCATCTAAAAGAGCTGAAGTCTTGTTTTAACTAACCTCGGAGTCAGAGCTGTTAGCTGACTTCTTACACAAGTCAGATACATCGATGGTCTGAAGTGTTTAGTTAATTGAAGAGGCTGGTTTTTGGAAGTAAGTGCTCAAAAGCATGCGGTTCTACCACCTAGTAAATAACGATCTTTTAGAACAAAAGTGCTGTGAAAATTGAACTGGCAAAGCGTGTCAGTGTCATTCTGACTTCCACCTTTGTAAAAGCCGCATTTACACTCGACATGGGAAAGCCAAATTCTGACTTGGTGCCTAAACCACAGTGACGTAAACTGGGAGCGAAATGAGACTGAGCTTATACAAGCCACGGTTCTGCAAATCATGTTTACGTGCTGTCAAGCGGAGCCTCAGTTTTGCCCCAGCTCGATTGATTCATCAACAATCAGTTCATCGATTTCAGACGCTCTCTTATAGCAGCGGTCCTCAACCACCGTGACCGGTCCGTGGGTCATTTTGTGGCGGGTTGCACAGAAAGACGAAATAACTTACATTACTTCCGTTGCATTCATTTTGTAATCTGAAAGATGTTTTATTTTGAAAAATTACGGGATTCTCTGTGATATCCGTCGATGTCACTCTTAACGCAGGTCAAGGCGGCACCCTAACTAGATGCTGAAGCCATTTCATCTGGCTCATCTTAAAAGGAAATCGATATCTGAGACAGTGTTATTTCGGTCCCAACTCAAAGCTTTTGACCCACGGTAAAGACGGGATTGTCAATCGCCCAGTAACTCCTTCTTCGCCATCACAGTCCAATACCGAGTTTGCATACTTGAATTCCTTGACTTGGGGCGGAGCCTGTTCTCCAACCTGGAGCGAGCACTCCACGATTTTCCACCTCGATGACCATGGCCTCACTTTAGTGGAGCCGATTGTCATTCCGACCAGGAATCAAGTTCACACAATTATTAACAATCAATCAACCGATTACCATGTCCCTCTCGAGAACAATCCAAAGAGCTTGACAAGGGTACCGTTGAGAATTACGATCACGATATCCAATGAACGGCATGTTGGTGTTGGGGGCACGTACCAAGTCATAAGCGGAGTGAGCTAGTGGTGTGCGACAGGCCGCGTCATTGCGCAGCTGTGATGTCATAGAGAGAGCGCAATTGGTAGATATACAAGGAAAAAAAACATGCATGAAAAATGCATGTCCATGTCAGCGTCATCTATCGGCAAAAACAACATTGCTCTATGGTGACACAGCGAGCTAAGCACGGGCGGCCAATGAGCACTAAATGATCAAACGGCACGTCGTAATGAGATTGCTCTCTGGAATGTGATTATCGGTGAGGGAGGGCACGGGCGGAGGCAATAAAGGGATGAAATTCGAAGGGAGGTCTACTTTTCACATGCATCAGCACATGGGGTTGCATGTTAAATTTCATGACATCCCGCATCAGCGGGTTGAGTACATACACACGAGATGAGCTTGTCAGAAGCGACAGTTCCTTCCGTCATGACAGACTTGGATGGCAGCCGCCCAAATAATAAGTCGACAAGTCACCTTGCTCCCAGGCATGGTTCTCACGTGCCGAATGAAATATCAGGGCGCATTAATATTAATGTACCGTATGCTATGGGAAACGAAATGGAATACAAACAATTATTAATGAAGTCAAAGACTGACTCAGGGTCTTGCGTGCAAATACAAATATTTACGCAGAGTAGGGGAGGGTTGTGATCATTGTGTTGTTGTTGCTGCTGTTTTTTTTTTTTTTTCAATCAGTATGCACAAAAACAATTGTGAGATAAGGACCTTGGCTCTGATTATTATTTTACTTTTTGGCTTTAAAGCTTGGACGACAATGGTTCAGCGCAACACCAACTGGAGCTCATATTGTATGTGTCATTTAAACGTTAAATCTATCACAACATTTCTGTGTTATTTGGGGCTTGGCACTCATGAATTCCCAAATTCGCTGATTCGATTTGATCTTTTTTACAACTCTCTTCTGTTATTTCCTGATCATGCGATCGGGCCAAAACAATTGCTTTGCAACCATTTCGCGGCGTATTGGTACCAAGGAACGATGTTGAAGTCAGTTGAGGAGCTAATTTGGACTAATCTGATAGTATCTATACTCAATTATAAACCTCAGTGGAGGGGGCATTAGTTACAGTTTCACTTTTTGTGACGGTGCTTAGTTAGTGCATGTCATGAAATGCCGTGACATCATTTTTTTCATGATATTTCACAAGAGGACAATTACATTGGTTAAGAATATTGAAATAAAATGTGGAAATGGTACTTCAATTTACATCGATACTTGTATTGTCTCCTTAATAATTGAGTTACAATTACAAAGAAAGAAAAAAAAATGAATTCAACTTAATTTAAGGGCACAACAAACTTTGACAAGCAGCACAAAGGGAAGCTTCATGGTTTCCTGCTCGGACATCCAGAAGATGGAAGATCATTACACAAGAGCCACACTGGAGAACAGAAAGAAGCGAGATATGTTCAAGAACTCACACAGCCACAGACAGACCACGTCCCGCGTCTATATCTGATATGAGGTTAACACACTGGCACAGAGCGGGAGCCGCCGCATTGAGCTGCCCTTTCGGAGAGATAAATGGAAGTGAGAACAATTGCTCTGGTATCAACTCTGTCACAAAGAAACCACTTTTGGTGACTGCATCAGCTGCTGACTCCGACCAAGGTAGAAATGGATGAAGGGGAAAACTGCTGCGAGATTAGTCACAGCTCATTCTTATACAAACTGCTTTCTTCCTTGGGGCTGCTGTAATAGGGCGATGTGGGAAAATGTTGTTTTAATTGCTTGGATACGCATAACTGCGTCTCTGGAAGGGCAGCCTACCTGTCAAGTTTGAAACAAGACACGTGAAAAATTCTTGTGAACTGCCTATGTAAGAAAATGAATCTGGAAGGAAGCGGTTCAGATTTTGACCCAACGAAGGTCACGGTTAGGTTAATTGAAAGATTTTTTTTTAAATTGTTTTGGAGGAATGACCCAAAAAAATAAAATAAAATAAAAAAACTCTTTGATGCATTTCTCAGTTGAGTGGTTTGACTCGACTGAGAGATGTTCATATTATTGAATAGGAAGCTTGCAATTAACAGGCCAAAGTTAGCATGACTTGGCGATTAGCATGGTCGCCTGGCCGATGCTACGTTCTCTTCCACTTCTCTGTGCTTCGTGTTAAAAATAATAATCCTCTCCAATATACACACAACGGTGGCAAAAGACATGTGTGTGCCATTCATTCATACGCCGCTAGCTTTGCGCCAGAAACACACATACAGTCAATGAGTAGTTGCAGGCAGGGGGATTTTTCAGGCAATAGACAGAGGCGGATGTTGAGATTAAGAGCATTCTTATTCAATTAATGAGTTTGAGGCTGTTCCTCCCATTATCAAAGCTCATTTAAAGAGCCGGTGCGTAGCGATACGTCTGCAAAACTGTGAAAAAGGTGAACGTTGACAAAATGAAGCTGATATTGCCAGACGAAGCGCCTCAACTCGTGCGTATCCCAAACTTTTCATTGTACAGTAATTCCCCTGAGATTAGGTGCTTTGGCTATAAAATCCTGATTAATAATAAATCGAACCCATCATTTATTTTTGTACGATTTTAGACGGATACAATCTAATTATAGAGACATATGGTATGACCCAACAATTGGCAGATTAGAGGGAGATGTAGGAAATAAAGATGAATCCATACAAAGTACTCGTTCAATCCCTAAGTAGCCAATCGCAAAAAAAAAAAAAAAAAAACAACAACAAAAAAACATTTTATAACCTAAAGAAAGCATCATTTTCCAGGAAAGAAGCAAGCAGATGGATATTGACTTCGATGATCAGGTTATGTATTCGCGCGCGCGTGTGTGTGTGTGTGTGTGTGTGTGTGTGTGTGTGTGTGTGTGTGTGTGTGTGTGTGTGTGTGTGTGTGTTTCGCATGGGTGTGTGTGTGTGTGTGTGTGTGTGTGTGTGTGTGTGTGTGTGTGTTTCGCATGAAAGCAGTCCAACGGGATGATGACACCTATGGGT